AGCTGAGCCATCTCCCTAGACCCCCTGGGTAAAGTCTTAATGAAATTCTTTTAAAAGTTTTATAGATGTCTAGAAATAGGAAATAGAGCAAGAGGGGGTGGTGGCAGAGGGACAAAAGGACCCTCAAACGCTGAGAGTATGGCGGACTGGGTCAAAGACAGATAGGCTAAGAGCACAAGGTCACACAAGAAACCATGGCCTTGGGATCGAATGACTTCCTCACTGGTGAGAAGGAAGAATCACTTTGACTACTGGTAGTGGGAGATGTAACCAACTTCACTAAGACACTTTCCAGATAAGCCTCGTAAACACTTAAGAAATGAAACTCAGTAAAAGTCAGTTTTCTCCACCAGGATGCCAGGCATCCAATTAGACATGGCCATAACTGCAAAGCCAGAGGATACATTCTCAGTAAACTTCAGACAAAGTGAGGAAACTCCTTGGGGTTAGAGGCAGGGCCTTTCTCCTGTGAATAAGTGATGGGTAATTTGTATATTCCAATCTCATCCATTCAAAGTAACTTTGCTCCCATACTCTAAGATGCAGTAGGAGTTGGCCCCATAAAGACAACAGTGAGAAAATAGACAACCCCTCTGACTGGTGGGACATAAATAATATTTAATAAATGCAGACAGCATGTCAGCTACCAAGATGTGGCTGTCTGGGGATTCCCAGCTAGTGTTGTAAGCACCGAAACCAATGAGATCCAAAGATATTTGGGGCATTCATTTTGGTCTGGGTACCAAATTCAGATGAGGTCACTGCCTTGCTGCAGTAGTGATTGGAAAGGAAGAGAAACAGGATGCTCTTTAATTAAATACTGTGGTAAAGATGAGACACCTTGAGTAGACTACTTTTTCCCACCCAAACCCTCTCTCTCTCTACACTCACTCTGAATTTCCATGCTAATTAAATTATGAACTCTACCCCGTAGGAAAATGAAGGACAGATGCTCACAGGCTGGCTGCTAGGGAATATTATGCATAAGTAGATATGGTTTGTGACAAGATGATGTTAAAATACATTTGAAACAGTAAATAGCACATTTAGCATTGACAGGGCTATAAACACACCACACACACATTTTTGGTCAGCATGCCATCATTAAAACATACCAGCCCTGTAAATGTTTCTGGGCTCCCTGTAAACTGATGCTAGGCCTTTGATTTTTGAGACAGGATTTCTCTGTGTAGCCTTTTCTGGCCTGGAACATGCTCTATAGACTAGACTGGCTTTGAACTCACAGAGATCTGCCTGCCTCTGCCTCCCAAGTGCTGGGATTAAAGGTATTCATTACCATTGCCTGGCTGGGAAATGAATTCTTAAAAGAAAAAGTCTGTGCATTTAGAAATGCTAACTGAGACATTGGTTCTAACAGCACAAACTAGAAGGTACTTGAATGTCCCATAGTAGAAACACAGACCTATAAATGATAGCCCATGTGATATATTAGGCATCATTAAAGTTATGGAAAGACTTGAAAAACAAGATGATTTTTGGGGGGTGGGGGAGAAAATAGGGCAAGGGTGAAAAATAAATGCTTGAGCCAAAAGCAAGGACTTGTAAGATAATATGGAAAGATGGCATAACCTGAATTTAAATTTAACAATATTACTGGGCTTTCTTTTTCTAAAGAGTTTTCTTTGTTGGTGGTGCCTCACTGCACACAAATTCAAATCAATTTCTTCAATGATCACAGGGCTCATGTTTAATGACCTTATTTAATATTCTGAAATGATTTCAGCTACTAACTGAGGTATATATGTCAGCAGGCACGGAGTCACTGTACATGGTACATAGGTATTGCTATTTTAGGTTTTTGTTTTTTCAACATAAACTTATAAAAGTAATGAGTATGGATGGTGAGACCTGGCAGGAACTTGGCAATCTGAGGCTTTCTGGCCTGGTGTTGACCTTGGTGGAAGTCCTCAGGCTTCCTCCTTCATTGAGGACCAAACAAAATTGCCCATCTCCTCATTCTAAAAGGGCAAAGCCACAAGCCGCAGGATGCAGTATTGCTTCAGTCTCTTTCCTACTGACAAGTGGCACAAGGTCTTATTCGGGCATAGAAGTGGAAACCAAACACCTTTTAGAATTAAAGAAACAGAGACAGTGAGGAACTTGGCAAAAATTCACCACAGAGTAGCTGGCCCCTTCTTTTCAAGTCTGGCGTATTCCTTTTTTTTTTTTTTTTTTTTAAACCTTCTTATTAACTTATTTTTTTACATTCCAATCTCAGTTCCCCTTCTCTCCTTTCCCCCCTCCCCCCACTTCTCCCTACCTCCCATCTACTCCTCAGAGAGGGTAAGGCCTCTCCTAGGAAGTCTACTAAGTCTGTCCCATCATCTCATTGAAGAGGAACCAAGGCACTTTTTCCCCCAACCCCCACCCCTGTGTCTAGGTGGACAAGATATCTCTCCATATAGAATGGGCTCCACTAAGTCAGTTTGTGCATTAGAGTTAGATCTTGGACCCACTGCCAGTGGCCTCATATACAGTCCCAGCTGCACCATTGTCACCTATATTAAGGGAATCTAGTCCAGCATTATGCAGGTTCTCCCTGAATGTGAGGGTGATCTGGCAATGACGTCTGTCACCCCATTGATTGCCAGGGTTGATTTGGCTGATCTGGCTGGTGAGGCAGGTGTCCCCTTCCCCCCTCACTGCTCCATGTGCATCCCTCCTGAAGCACAGCTTCATGCTTGGTCGAAGAGAATGGCCTTCCCCATATACCCAGTCAAGGGTATATGAGTAGCTGTGCTCCCTTGCTAGAACCCCCAAACAAGCTCTCGAATTGGGTGTATTCTATATGGCTTCATCAGCACACTGGACATCAAGTCCACCCATGGCTGAGCCCAGGCTGGGTTTGGATGTATTTATAACTGAAAATGAGTTGTGGAGGGAGGTTATCTGAGCAGAACAAAAGCCTGCATTGCTGGCTCAGTGGCAGGTATGAAAACCATTTGCAAAGTTTATAACAGGCCTTGGCCTGAGCAGGACAGCTACATTACAGCCTTAGGTAGAAAGTTAGTTTTTCTTTTTGAGTAATCCACTCCCTGCATAAATTCAGTGTGTATACACTGCTGGTCTCTAGTAAGCCCATGAAGAGGGCTAGGTTGTGGAAGGGCTTGAGGGCAAATAGAGCTGCCTTCCAGGCCTGAGTCTGCTACTCATTAGGTATGGACTATGGAGAAGATGCTCCTTGAGCCTCTCTTTTATCCCTTGAACAAACAAAAACAGATAGGTGTGGTTTGTCCAGACATTTAACTGACTCAACAGATCAAAAGCTTCATGGAGTTTATATTATGGAGAATGAAAAATGGTGACTTATACTGTGTCCAATGCTATTTAGTATTTAAAAGGAGAAACATTAAGGATAAGGAAGGGTCATTGGGGTGATACTGTAAGTGAAATGGACATACATGCTACCTTACCTAAAACAGGTGACATTTGAGCAGAAAACAGATGAACCTTTATGTGAGTAAAGCATTTCCACAGAAAGGGCAACAGACAGAAAGCATTGGATAGCAGATAGAAAGAACTAAGAGTGTGTTTGACATATCTGAGGGACACAAATTTAGAGAGTGTTCTACGGGAAAGGGAGAAAGTGCTGGAACATAGAATGGCTTATGGGGGGTATTATTACTCGATGAAATGAAAGCTGTCAGCTAGCTTCTGCTGTATAACAAATAATCCTAAGATTCGATGGTTTAAAATCACTGACCTATATTATTCTTTGGCGTTCTATGAGTTAAATGTGGTGTCTCTTTTCCTTTGGGTTTCCTTAGCTGGCATGGGAGGCCTCAGGCATGCTGTAAGTAAATGAAAAACAATGGTATTTGACTTGACCCACCTAGAGCAGAAGCCCAGAAATCTGTGTTATTTGCTAGATTGAAGCTGCCATCCCCAGGAGGAGAAACATTGATATATATATATATAATCTCCATCCTCACCTTCTTCATGTTTAATAAAAGAGCCTCTCTGTCATGTCATAAAGGTCTTTTTTACATCTTGGTGACCATAAACTTTGAGCTTCAGAATGAATGAATCATTCAGGATTCTCAAATGAGTTAATGAAGCATAAAAAGGCTTGGTCCTTAAAAGTCATCTCCATGTCCCCTTGCTGGGAGACCATGGTGTAAGTAGAGAGGGTGAGTGCTCTCAAGTGACTGATGATCCCAGGAGCCATCCCTTGAAGACAGAGATAATCATCTGTAAGTACCAGGAATTAATGCAATTAAGGTAAAATTACATGACAGTCACTTTTCTTCTCTTTCTTTCACAGAAAATATGTTGGCATGCTTATCCCATGAGACAACTCGGCCCACAAAGCACAAAAACTAAACCTAAACTCAGAGAAGAATCAAGAATGGTGTTTTCCTGGCGTCTACAAGAAGTGCTTTATTTTTTCTTCTAGATTTCTTTTCTAAAAAAAAAAAAAAAAATGAAAACAAACAAAAACAAAACAGAACAAAAATAACTGAGATGTACATTCAAACAAACAATATACAATCCAGGCGATCATAATCAAGCATGTTCTTTTATTAAGCATAAATGGGAAGAACCAAGGGAAAGCTGAAGCTAGATGGTAATTTGGGAGTACTGAGAGGCCGTGACACTCACTAAGGAGGCCAGTCTTGCGACTGTGAGTGAAGAATGAAGGGAACTACTTGTTTCCCACCTCAAGAATATCCCCTGTATCTTAAGGATGCCTTGCTTCCTTCCTTGCCCGTCTGTGTTTCTAGGGAATGATTTGCAGAATGCGTTTGGTATTACCTCTAAAGAATTGCTTACACAGCTTTGGCAAGGAAGACAGGGAGTGGAACTCTTGGGACCCACCAGCTATGCACACCGGCTCTGTTCTCTTCTGATGGCACCATAACATTGGTTCTGTTGGGACATGGTACTCAGTTTCTCTCAAAGTTGCCAAGCCTGGTCAGACTTGGTGAGGAAGTACAAAACATTGGCCTCCAAGACTGAATTCAGCATGGAGAGGCAAACGCGTGCTCTTCCCTCAATAAGAGAAAGGGAGCCTCAGGTGGCAATGGTGGCTGCGGTGGTGATTGGGTGGGTCAAGGAGAAGTTAAGCTATTCCAAAGGTATTACAGAATCACTAGTGCTTCTACAATGAGCAATGGAACCTACATGTTAACCATGCTTCCAGTTTCAAGCAGGCCACCACCAGAAAAGCAAGCAGACCCATGACTAACCCTGTCCTAGAAAAGAGGCTTTGTCCCTTGAAAGTCTCTGCTTCCCACTGACACTCAACCTTTTCCCATTGATTAAGCTGCTCTTATTTCTTTTATTCTCAAGGCTCTGCACTGGAGGGTTAGGGGCACCCCAGAATGATGGGGTTGGCAGTGATGAGGGTCAGAGCATGGGTGGGGGTTTGCCCAAAACTATGGGGCTCTGATTAGCTGGATGGACTCCCCAGTCGTTCCTGGATAAGCCTCTCGCTGAGGTCCCACAGGGCCCGGGCTGTCTCTTCACTCTGGGCCTCTTCAGATGGCAGGCAACGGCAGCAGTTGTTGAAATACATCCCTCCGAGGCCTTCCAGCTCAGGGGCGACTGCACAGTAGACAGTGGTAGCAGCTCCCTGTTGCTGAAAAACAGAAGAAAGAAAAGCACTTGTTTATAAAAAAAAAAAACTGAGTGATAAGGCAATGCCATTTTGACTGTCTGGAAGATTAGTGAACTGTTCTCCACTGGGACATCAGCGTGGCAAAGGGCTCAACTCTAAGCACAGGGCTGCACAGTAGGATGTGTGATAGCCTTGGAAAAACAAGTCCATCAACTCTACTTGTAAAGCTGGCGTGACTTCTCACATCTCATAGAGGAAAAGGCTTGGGAAATAAAGACACACTTCAATATATCAATATCATGCTAGATGCCATTTCAGCACAAAGAAAAAGATGCTGTCCTCCCCAACATGCAAGAACAGATCCATCCAACCCTTTGACTTCTGAATGTGCAATATAATTTGACACCAAGAACTTTCTAGAACCTTCTAGAACTCTTGACTATGACCCATCAAATGGATGACTCAAGTGAGGCTAGTGTCACATCATTTCTGTATTTGGCTTTGCTAAGGGTGCTCTAAGGAGGTAGGATGGGTTGATGGGTTTACAACACTGCTGAGATGTTTAGAACACACACACACACACACACACACACACACACACACACACACACGGGAGGGGGAGAGAGAGAGAGGGAATCTCACACATCCTTACACTGATGTGTTTATTCACCCAGAAAACACTTTTCTAAATGTCATATCTGTTCTGATTTACAACAAGATATGGCCTGAGGTAGGAGGCATGTTTCCTTCAGCCCATTTCAAAATGCAAGTTGCTATGAACACCACTGATCATTTCTGGTCTCCTCTGAAGTAACAGTTGGGGCTGTAGCTAGGGGCGTGCTCACTGATGGGGCACCGTGTCATCCCAACTGACAGAATATTGCCAGAGATGCTATAAAGAGGGCAAGAGCTCACTTTGCTTTGCAAGCCATAATTAAAAATAATAGGCTTCTGTTCGTAGGGAGGCATGGTGAGCAGGGCTCTAATTTAAAACCAGTATAGTTTATTAGCCATTCTGTGATCACTTATGTGGAGGACAGCTCTTGATGCATCAACTCGATATCAGCTGATAGGGAGTGGGGTTACAAACAAGGACCCGGAAGCTAAACACAGATGTCACCTTCAGGAAAACAGTAGAGATGTTTGCTTATAAAGGAGATGGCTTTCTGTCCCTACACAAACTTAACCATTTTTTTCCTGCCCCTGCAGGGTTTAAATTGTGTTAGATCAGAGTGTCCATGGAAGAACATCCCCATAAATGACTAGAATCATTGGAGACATAGTAACTCTGAGAATCAGGATCCCAAGGGGTTACAATTTTAGCAAAGCTCCATGAAGTCCATTTGGGTTTTATTTGGTGCTGGTTCTGTATCAGTGTCTGTGGTCATATATGCATTGGTCAAGTGCAGCCAGGTGGCCTGGCTGTGGGAGAGGTATGGAGGAGTATGTATAACAAACTTGATGTCTAACAATACCTGGCTCATGAGCCTACTATCCAGGTCTTACCAGTCCAGTATTTGAACATATGACCTGTGATTGGAGCTTAATTGAATAGCAAATGGTTGGTGACTTCCTGAAGTCCCTTAACATGCCCCCCTACCACATAGACACAAACAATGAATACTTTGGATTCAGTGATTTCTTTCTCACTTGATCTCCTTTTACTGAGTTGCCCATCACCTTTAGTTGAGCACCCAGCATGCTTATCTAAATACCTTCCAGGGGGGGTTATGGGGTTCCTGTGCATCCTTTAAGGAGGATGGGGGCAGCCCAAGTGCCTCTAATGACTAAGTAGAACACAAGGATGGCCACTCAGCTAACTGAAGATGAACAGCAACTTGTCCTCTGCTCATTGCAGAGTCCAGGTGGAGACCGAGCTTTGAATCAACTTTGGGCTATCTCTCTCAGATTTTCCTTTTATTTTTTAGGTGACAAATCCAGCCAAGAATGAACACATGACTTGCCACAAACTTCTAAGTGGTGGCTGAGAGAATCTAGTAGTTCACCTCCAAATCCTTCCCTCCTCCTCTTCCCCAAGCTCCAGATGATTCTCACATAAGACAGTGGTTCTAATCTCACAACAGGCAGGCCTTTCATAGCTTTGCCAATCCTGAGATAAGATCAAGGGAGGGCACTCAGGAAGTGATAATCAGAGTTCTTCCTAACTTAACGTAGGGTATTGCCACCGTGTCCTTCTAACATGATGTGGTCTGTGTGCTTGCATTGTTGAAGTGTGGTACTTTTGTGAAGAAACACTGAATCCAGAATCAAGCTAACTGGGAGCAGGAGGAGGTGTGTTTTCCCTCTCTGGGATCTGCAAGTGATTGCAGCTTGGCTGGTTTCACAGAAGAGTACATTTGGTAACTCTACTGAAAGACATGCAGTTTTAAAAGCCCAGCATTGCACATATGTTCCCTTCAACTGCTTGCCATTGGTCTTAGGGTAGTTCACAACAAAAATTCTACTGCCAGTGCCCCCCAGCTTTATAAAAGCACAGAATGGGTACAAAGGCCACATTTGCTACCCCACAGACTGTGCCATTTTGGCAATGCCTCCCAGCCTGAGCCATGCGTGCTGCCACTGGCTCTCGCTTTATCTTCTTTTCAGGACAGACAATTAAGTGCTGACAATATCTTGTTGGTCCCATGCCCACTGCCTCATGGGCTTTTTGGAGAATTTTCATTTCAGCTGTTCCAATGGCAACCTTTGAGTGATATCTTTATACTATGGGATGTGGTAACAGTTTAAAAAACAAGTTCTCACTTTGGGCTCACCAGCCTTTCAGTCTGTATATCATCGGCCTGATACAGAACCCCATCAGTGAGATCTTATTAGTAAACAAGCTTGTGCCACTGACAGAAGATGAAACATGTTTAAACTGGTAAAAAAGAGTTTTTTTGGGGGGTGGGGTTGAGGACTTTAATCACCATCAAATGACTTTCTTGCCACTTTTGGGGGTATCAGTACATAATTCCGAGAAGATGAAAGAGACATATAAAGGAAATAATGTTAACAACACTGGTGCAATATTTGAAGGTATGACTTGCCATTTGTCAACATTACTTTACTGATCCATGGTGATAAAATAATAACCCATTGACATAGAATGCTGGCTGGAGCTGTGGGTTCTCCCAGATGATTGCCGTTTGTTTCCTTCAGAACAATTTGTCAGGTTGCTTATAAGTCACTCATCACAAGAAGCTGGGAAATAGCATCTCCAACCCACATCAATGCCATTGGGCTAACATGCTGATGACCCAGGACTGAGAATTTCTGGGGAGCTCAGGAGAATGTTTAATCACACTCCTATGTGTTTAATCACACCCCTATACCATCCCGGTACTAGTCAAACATTTGTGAGAGGGCAGAGTTCAACTGTGCCATCAGCCATTACTATGCATGTAAAAGTGTTCAGGGTTCTTGTTTATAGGTTGAGCAGAGAACATTTGCTAATAAAGGTGCATGCATCATTTTCCTGAGGAAATCATTTTTCAAGTTTGCAACCCCATCTTCCAGCTGAGAAAGCTGTGTTGCAGAGGGGCTGATGTTGGTAGTTGAGAGCCTGAGAATTAAAGGAGCTAGCCTTCCAAACCCTTTGTTGGTATGGAAATGTTAAGTAGCCACCCTCCATCAACATTTATTTGATAACTGCTGGCCATCAATTTGTAACTGTCAGCACAGGTTACAAATGGATATTGAGTCCTTTGAAGAAAAAGGTACAGAGGTTACTGATAAACAACCCATGGTTTAAAAACAAAACAAAACCACATATTGATATCTGTAATGCATTACTTAGTACTGTGATAGCATCCTCACATTCTGATAGGAACACATGTTACACAATTTAGCTTTCAGGTGACTCTAATATGCATGCTTACTTAAAAGGAAGAATAGATTCCTGTCTTAACAACAATGCATTTTAAAATAACACAATATCATGGCATGCCTGTTCTATATTCAAAGACTTCAAAGAGCAGTAGATGTTGGAAGACTGCTTTATTACAACATATACACACCAGGACATTGCACAGCAAATGCTGAATTAATCAATTTATTAAAAAAAATATAGATTCAGGAATGGGAACACACCATGCAAGCTAGATTAGAACTGGGGCCTCAGGGGCAGGGAAGGAAGGCCGCTCTTGAGAGGTGGGCAGTGATGAAGAGATGGATTAAAAGTGGGGTGCTGCAGTGAGATCCTTAGGCAAGGAGGAAAGACGGGTGCATCTTCAGACTCTCACAGCTTTCATTGCTACTCATCTGAGGTCTCATAGGCAAAGAATATAACTTTCAAATGTGAAACCAGCAACCCTATGGACACACTATGCTGAGTGGGATAATCGGTCACAGGCCATGGTAGAGATGAGCATCTCACCACCCTTCCACTCTCCTAGTAATAGTAACACTCCTGCAAGAGAGTTTATAAGATGTCTATCAGAAATATGCAAGATTGCATTCTGGAGTTCATCTCCAAATGTCTTGGTGCTTGGGATATAGCTGTTCCAACAAACAATTATAATTTCAACTTCTGGTTCATGAGGCAAAAACGAGCTTCTCCAAAGGGTGCTGTGTACCTACTTACTATCCAAGAACAACATTGTCAGTGGACAAATTCGCCTCTTATTTCAAAATATTCTGTCTGTTCATAGACCAAAGTAGGGGTTCATACACCTCTCTGACCAGTGACTTCAACAAAAGAATGCATTCCCTGCTACCCATACAACTGAGTTGTACAATGCTGGCTCAGGGCTTATCAATAAACATGCCAGGTTCCATCACAATGGAGGGAGGCAACAGAAGAGAATAAACAGCTCTGCTCTCCAGTAAGTTCCAGCCAATAGTGACTATCCATATAGCTAGGAAGACTGGCTGGCATTTGCCAGGTGCCTGCAGATAGTTTTATAAGTATCACCTTCCAATCCTCATGCTGTCCCATGAGCCAGGGACAACTATCATCTCCATTTTTAGATTCAGAGATCAAATTCAACTTGTCCAAAGTCACAGGGACAGTCACAGACTAA